CTTCAGATTCAGAAACGGACTCGGAGCTTTCGCTTAATTCGCTAGGTTCTGAGTTCTTTCTCTTTCGTCTTAATTCTCGCTCGAAATCGGCGTTAAAGCTCGAGATATGTTCACGAATCGGATGAGAACTCCGAGTCATAAACTAGTACCTAAAACAAGAAACAAAACAAGATTAAAAATCTGAAATAAAATAAAAACAAAAGGAAATGAAACAATCCAAGAGATTAGCAAAATTGCTGATCCCCGGCAACGGCGCCAAAATTTGATGCAAGAATTATACGCACACAAATTAAACCCTCTTTTTGTCAATTGTAGTGAAGTGTATAAGTAGGGATCGTTCTGGACCGGGGATTAGGAGGGATTGTTAATCACTTGGATTTGACTTAAAAACGTAAAAACACAATATAAAACAATATTTAATGCTCAAAGAATGCAAAACTAAAAATAAGAAAGATTAAGACTAAGACTTAAACAAAATAAGGGGGGATTGGATTTGGACGAATTTACTAAAATAAATACTTGGACACAAAACAAATTGTGAATATGGATTTGACGGAAATGAATGGATGGGAAGCTAGCTAAGGGGTTCTTCTCCACATATGTTATATTTGCATACAAGATTGATTCTCAGTTGGTCTTTCGATAAATTATGATACTCAACACTCCGGATTAATTAGGTCCGCTTAAATTAACCGTCAAGTTTTCCTTAAGTTAATGAATTGGATGGGTTTGCGCAACGCAATTCACAACATTCTCCAAAAGTCCTTTACGTGAATAGCACAATAAAGATACAATCAAAGATCATTAAGCATTATGAAAACTATAAGTGTTGACGAGGCATTCGTTACTATGATGAGCATGAAACTCGTGCCAAGAATATGTTTAACACGATTGTTTATAAGCAACCTCCACTACTTGTGAATATAAGTTCATAACGATTAGGTGAAATTCACTTATATTCTAGCGTCATATTTATGCATGAAAATTAAGCGCGCATTCTTAATAAACATTCATAAATAAGCTATCAATCAAACGGTTAAACAAATTGAATCCACAACTTATGAAATTCCAACGAAAGTTAATCAATTCATATTGCAAATATAAACATAGTTTCGAATCACCCCCTACCTAAAGGGGGTTTAGTTCCTCATAACCTTGAAATCAAAGAAACACCTAAACATTCCAACAACTCAAAGCTTGAATTGTATGAACGTTTAAGCACTCTTCTCTTCCATACATACAACACAAAGAGAATTAAAATGAAACTTTGAAATCAAAGAAACACCTAAACATTCCAACAACTCAAAACTTGAATTGTATGAACGTTTAGGCACTCTTCTCTTCCTCGTTGTTGTAGCACAAGGTTTAAGGGATGTTGTTGGTGTATTGAGTGGATTGGGGAATTTATGGAAATGGAAGAAATGGAGGAGAAATGGAAGGGAAAGCTTGCGGCCAAAGGGATCCCACGGCAAAGGAAAGAATTTGATGCATGTGGGCTGATTTGTTTGTTGAAGAAACATGTGTTTGGGAAGCTTTCTTGCTCATTTTCTGGATGCAATGATGAAAAGTTTAATAAATAATGCATGTAGGTGGCTGAAATGATGAAGAATGAGTGGTGGAAATGCAAGGGAAAGCTAGAAATACATGTGAAGATGTTGGAATTTCACAAGGTGAAGTGCACGGCAATGATGCTTGTTTGTTGGTGAAAATGTGTTGGTTGCATGTTTGTGGATGAATGGGGTGTAAAGGTGGCTGTAAGGTTGAATGATTAAATGTGCATGTGGGTTGAAATGCAAGGTGAATGAATAATGAATGCATGTGTTGATGAAATTACATTTGGAAAGCTGAAATGTGGAGGGGATGCACGACATGGATATTTTGGTGTGTGAATGGTTATTGTTTTGCATGTGAAGTGTGTTGTGAATGTATGTGGGTTAAATGATTAAAGGGGGTGGAAGATGGATGAATGATGGATGAATGGAATGAAATGTGTATGCACGGTTTTGGTATGGAGAAAGGGGTGAATGTGCATGTGGGAGATGGAATGGAATGTATGTGAATTATGTTGGGAAAGCTATGAATGTGCATGGCACAAAGGTGTGGATGATTTATGAATGCATGTGGGTGAATGATTTGTGGTGCAATGATGAAGAGTGAATAAAGAATGCATGTAGGGTTAGCTAGGAAAGTGGGAATGTGGTTGAATGATTAAAGGGACATGCATGTGGCTTGTTTGATTGCTTGATGAGATGATGCATGCTTGTAGTTTAGGGTGTTGAATATGGATTTGCATGGCATTTGAATTGATTGTGGGCTTTTGGAATTGGAAGGAAATGCATGGCAAAGGGCTTGGTTTAAGAGAGAATGGGCTAGGCCCTTTGTTTTATGTCCAAAATGAATACAAGGCCTTCAAATTCGTCCAACATTTTGGCTCCAATCATATGCCATCCATTCCAAGCCCAATTTTGCTCCAAAATGCTCCAAAATGCATCTTTTTTCTTCCTTAAGCCCTTAGAACCTGAAAACACACAAAAGAAGCATAAAGGACTAAAATAACTAGAGAAACATAACGTAAATGCACGAGAACAAGCCGTTTAAGTCGCATGAATATGCTCCTATCACTTACCAAAACGAGGAATCCTACTCAAACAAGGTTTCCTATTTTAGGAAAGTTGACCCTAAGTTTCCCGTTTTGGTAACCTTTCCTAATTCTAAACGTCCATATTTTCTAGCCACTTTATAGGCCTCGTATGCACTTTAGGACACAAAACCAAGGCCCTAGCCCTATTTCCCTTCCTAGCCGCACCTTTATATTTATGATTTTATTTCCTAATTCTAGAAGCCTTTGAATTTATTTTCGTTAATAAAATTAAGCTAGGAACCAAACATATTTAAAACCCTAGGTTTTACATCTTTAGCCGTCACAATCCCATCCATTTATTTGATAAAACAATCTCAGCCATTCACACACATAACCCTAATTCCCTAAGCCGTGGCTCCCCCATGGAATTATCCCATTTTATGTTCTGACCAAGGCGGTGCATTCCGCAATTTTTCACCCAAATTTCCCACCTTTGCCGTGGACCCTAATTCCATATATTTCCCCACATCCGTAGCCTCCATTACCATATAACCCTAATTTCCTATTATTTTCCCTAGCCAACGCAGCAACCATTTTATATTTTTCTCCCATTAATAAATTAATCCAGCCGCACCATCCCATATTATTTTTTCTTCATTGCCGTGCCTTTCAAAAACTGTCAAGCCGTGCATTTTGATAACCTAAATTCCTGGCAGCCACTTTTTTCCATTAAAACCGTGCAGCCATTCCACATATTTTTGATTGCAGCGCAGCACTTTTTCCAAACCATATTCATTTCAGCCGCAACATCTCCCCCTCCAATTTCCCATTATTGCAGCCTTCCTTCACACTTTCCACCACCATACAAACCTTCACACACCACCCCATAGCCTTGCCGCATCCCTAAACCACCTTAAATCTATCCCTAACCCAGAAAACCATCCAAAAACCACCCATAACCAAACTGTCGCAGCAAGGAGAAGAGGAAAGAGGACTTAGACGCGCAGAAATTCAAGTGGATTCGTTGGGCGTTCTAGGTGTAATCCATCCTTTGTTCTTTATGTTTAAATTCAATTTTATTTTTCTTGTTGTGACCATGAGAGGCTAAATCCCCCTAGTTAGCTAGGGGGTGATTCGAAACCATGTTTATGCTTGCAAGATGAATTGATTACATTTGGTTGGAATTTCATAAGTTGTGATTCAATTTGTTTAACTGTTTGATTGATAACTTATTTATGTATGTTTATTGAGAGTGCACGCTTAATTTTCATGCATGAATATGACGCTAGAATATAAGTGAGTTTCACCTAATAGTTATGAACTTATATTCATAAGTAGTGGAGGTTGCTTATAAACAATCGCGTTAAATGAATTCTTGGCACTAGTTTCATGCTCATCATAGTAACGAACGCCTCGTCAACACTTATAGTTTTCATGATGCTTAATGATCTTTGATTGTTTCTTTATTGTGCTTTTCACGTAAAGGACTTTTGGAGAATGTTTTGAATTGCGTTGCGCTAACCCATCCAATTCATTAACTTAAGGAAAACTTGACGGTTAATTTAAGCGGACCTAATTAACCCGGGGTGTTGAGTTTCATAATTTATCGAAAGACCAACTGAAAATCAAATTGTATGCAAGTGTGACATGTGTGGAGAAGAACCTTCTAGCTAGCATTCATCCATATTTTCATCACATTCATATTTACATTCTGCTTTAAATTACAATTTGTGCATTTAATTTATTTTCGTCAAAATCTCAATCCCCCTTTACTTTAGTGTCCAATTTAGTTAGAAAGTGTCTTAATTTGTGTTTATAAGCGTTTTGTATTCTTTGAGTCTTTTGATTTGTTTTAGTGTTTTATTGTTTAGCTTTGCATTCTTTGAATCTAGTTTAGTGTTTTTAATGTTTATTTCACGTTTTTGAGTCAATCTCCAAGTGATTTTGCAATCCCTCCTAATCCCCGGTTAAGAACGATCCCTACTTATTCATATACTACAATTGTCACAAGAGGGTTTTAATTTGTGTGCTTACTTAGTTTGCATCAAACTCCTCCAAGGTCACTCATTTTCTTCTTCATTATGCCTTGGTGATGAATAATTAGAGGTTCTCAATTTTGGGAACTTGGAGAAACCTTTTCATCCATCCAAATCCATGGATTTAAGATGCAAGGAATGAAGGCCCTCTCTTTGGGTGATTAGCCTTTGCTTATGCAAAGAGGAATCTACAAAGGTATTGATTTCTCAACTCACTTTGTTTTGAGTTGAGTCTTGGTTCACCTATCTACTAGGCTTTGAATTTCATGGGTAAATGTTTTGTTTTTAAGTGCATACAAGCATGATTCCGCCTTTAATTGTTAATTGCATGCTATTGATGTTGCTTAAATGAACATGTTTTTCACAAATCTTCCTTCACGCAGTTGCCAGACTCTCAAGCTCGACAGATTTCATCAAAGCATCGTGCAGAACCACTCAGTACCCTGCACTCTGTGTCCAAAGCCTTGCAGCATACACAAGTGCAATAAGGCAAAGTGAAAGGCAACTAGCTCAAACTGCCTTGACAGTGAGCCTAGCCCGGCTGCGGTCTGCCGCGTCCTTCGTGGCAAAGCTAACTAGGGTTAGGCAGATTAAGCCTAGGGAGTAGAGAGCTGTCAAGGACTGCGTATAGAGAACATGGGGAACTAGGGCATATGTGGAGGGCGTTTGGGCAAGGACTTGATGTGGTAAATGAGCAATGTGGAGACATGGGTTAGTGCAGCCTAGGGAGTAGAGAGCTGTCAAGGACTGCGTATAGAGAACATGGGGATCTAGGGCATATGTGGAGGGCGTTTGGGCAAGGACTTGATCTAGTAAATGAGCAATGTGGAGACATGGGTTAGTGCTGCATTCACTGATGAAGGCATTTGCCTTGATGGGTTTTGATGTCGTTTTATGGATGGGAATATAAAGAATGCTAGAAGAAGGGTCAATAATGTTGCTCAGGTCGCTAGCAATGCATTGCCACTTGTTAAATGACTAAAAATAATATGATATTTAATATAATATAATAATTAAAAAGAGAATAATGTAGGAATAATGATTATAATTTTGTAACATATGAGGAATATACTTATCATTTAAAGTTTTCATAAATTGACACTAATTACAATGCTTTGAAAGAAAAAGAAAACATTCTTTTTAGAAACATGGTAGATCATCCTTTTGCTTTTCCAAACACATATGACGTCCTCAATTAAAAAAAATTTGTTTTATTTTTGTAAAGAATAATACTAAGACCAACTCTAATGATGGGTTAAAAGCCAAATTACCTCTCAAAATTTCCCCCCAAACCCACTCCAACCCAAGGGGAAAATTGAGGCTAAATGCTAAATGCTAAACCAAGGCCAAATTCCCCTCAAAATTTAGCCCAGAAATCAAAGTGGACTTCACCCAATATTTATCGGAATTTAAATTTTTTTAGATTAAAATGTTTATAAAATTAATTTACGATAGTCTACATATTTATTTATTTTTTAAATTTAATTTAACCAAAAAAAATAGCCTAAGTTCATTCTTTAATAATCCCAGGCTAAAATTTTAGGCTAAAACGGTTGGAGCAGAAAAGTTGTTTCTGGGCTAAAAACTAAATTTTCCGAGCTAAAATATTTGGCTTCTAACCCAACCATTGAAGATGGTCTAAGGAGACTGATCATTTGCAACTTAATATTATGGTTTCTTAGTGTCATGCCAGCCCTAAATAACTAACCATGAAAAGGAAAATGAGGAGGTTTGTTAGAGGACATGTCATGTTTTGCTTTTTCTTGATTTTTAGCATGACAACGGAATTGGATCTTATCCGGATTTATTTTGTAGGAATCTTAAGAATCTCCACATCTTAGTTATTCATCATTTATCGTGCGGTCATAAATTATTTGATTTTTTATTTAAAATTAAACACAAATAATATTTGATGTAAACTGACCATACGATATATTATGAACAATTAGAATATAGGGATCTCTAGAATCCGTACAAAGTAAATCGGGAGATGATGCTCTTCCGACAAAGATTAACTCTGTCTGAATCCAAAACTTTATTAAAATTGTTTATGTTTTTGTTCCTGTCAATCAATCAATCTTTGAGATTATCTCCAGATTTTAGGTCATTCTTATCTTATCTCCTCGTATAGATGAGTAGTCTTGTATGGATAGAAGGCTAGGCCTTGTTAGGTATTAGAGTAAGTAGGTTGGGAAGATACGTGATAGTGATACATCTTTCCACTATTTTTCTAAAAACTCAATGAGTTTAAAAACTTTTGTCATTTAATAGTACAGTTTAGTATTGTTTCTTTTTACTTATAAGTGAAAGGTCTTAGTTAGATTCAATTCTTATAAAAGATGAAGGTGAACCATATTATTACAACAAACTCATTATAAGACTTAGTATACTTTCCTATCCCCTTAGTGTAAATATTATTGTTTGTTAAAAAAAAAAGTATAAAAGCATTTCACTTATTTAAATGAGGCCTTTTAGCCAAAATAGTCTTTGAGATTTGTGTAACTCTTCACTTTGGTACCTGAAATTTGAAATGAATAGAAGTAATCTTTGAGGTTGTCCACCATCAATCATTTTGGTACTTTCATGAAAAATCTTCATTAAATAAGGCTAAAATGACAAAAATACCCTCAAATTTTGTCAAATCATTTGGTCCATTGTTCATTAAATTGTGGTATTTTTGTCATTTTGCTCCTTATTTAACATAATTTTTTAAGGACCAAAATAATTGATAGTGGATAAACTCAAGAAGCACTTATATTGATTTCAAACCTCAGAGATCAAGGTGATAAGTTATGCAAATCTCAAAAACTATTTTGGCTAAAAAACCTTTAAATGATCATCATTAAATTCATAACGTTATTTCAATGTTCAATGTTCATTTGATTAGTTTTCTTTTCTCAAACTTTATGGAATCATTTTTTTAAGTTTATCAAAAGTCACGCAACAACATACACATGTGGGTTGTTCTAATGTTACCTGCTTAATCATACATGTATAATGTAAGCAATAGTAGCGATAAGATTAGATAATTAGTCTCGTGCGTATGTGTGACAGACCGTAACATGTTTAATCATTTGAATTTTAATAATAAGGATAAAATAAAGGATAAAATAAATAATACAAAGATTAACTTTTTAGTGTAAATATGTGATTTTTCGTTAAAACGAACAGTTTTTCGTTAAAATGGTTAAACCAAAGCGTTGATTCAATGTGATTATAATATTGTTGTTGGCATATGGACATCCCTTATCTGTGGACGACCAAATCTAGTGTGAATCGATTTTACACGTCATAAATGCAATCTCCAAAAAGAGGTGAAGCAGGAATATAAAAATTTGAGATCCTTATCTTGTTCAAAGTATGTACTTGAAAGTTGCAACATTTCTGATCTCTCATTGCATTTGTGCTTGAAATAGTATGACAAAGTACCAACTAAGCTGTTAAACTATTAAAATGGAGTTCTAGACTTGACTAATCAACCAAGTTATCGAGCTAAGATGGTGAATCCAATTTATGGCATTGCCATAACTTTTCAGTTTGGTCCTTGATAATGAAAATCGACAAAAATAGTTTTTGAGTTTGGGTACCGTAAATCATTTTGGTCATTTGGTGAAAAATCTGTTAATATCCTCGTTAAATTCTTACGTGAACGACCAAGTAATCACTTTTAATGGTATTTTTGTGAAACTAGCTCATCATCTTAACGAGGATATTGGCAGTTTTTCACAGAATGACCAAATGATTTACAATGGACAAACTCATTGATCATTCATATTGATTTCATTATCAAGGACTAAAGTGAGAAGTTATGCCAACCTCAAACACCATTTTGGCTAAAAAGCCTCCAATTTATTGGTTCTGAGTTCACGAGAGCAATCTTGACCAAAAAATAGTTGGGCAATTAGCAAGAATGATTAATCTTTTAAGTTTGGTTCCAAAATGATTATTTTTTAGTAACGACAACATATTGATCATATATTGATGACTGAACGATAAGATAACAACAACATAACGATGATACAATAAAGACATAATAAACACTAATTATTTATGCAACCAAATATAAAAAACTGAGCATTGTTGCTAATTGTCCAAAATAGTTCACAAGAACAACTTGTACGAAATGATTTTACCGCTAGGTGCGGTTTCTGTTTAGTAATAAGAAGACTTTACATTACTTGCTGGAATTTCCTGTTGTTCTCAATTTTCCTCCCTTGCCAGAATTTCCTGACCTTTGCTCCCGTCTCCTGACCTTTGAGGCCCAAATGAGGACTAGACAGTAGCTCATGCTCTCCTTACTGTCATCTTTTGTGCTGCTACTCCTTCTCAACAACCCTTGCACCCTGTGGCCCAACCTTTGCAGCCTAATGGCCCGCAGCACCCTATTACCTTCTTGGCCCAGCAACCTCGCAATAGGAATCCTGGTCATGGTGGCTACAACTAGCGCCTACGCGGCGGCTGGGGGAGATTGTGGTCACGATCCTCGCATTGGTTGGTAGCCCAACCAATAGGGTTTAACCTAATAATCAACAAGGTATTCTTGGTGCTCGTCCTAGTTTTTGGTGTAATTTTTGTAACTCTCCTGGCCACAATATCTTTGCTTGTCTGCATCGCCTAGCTCCTCCTTTTGTAGGCTATCGTGCATTTCTATCTGGTGTTTCTCATGATCCTATTTGGTATTTTGATACAGGAGCCACTCACCGCATGAGAAATAATGAAGTTGCACTCCAAGACCCATCTCCTTTTACTGGTAATAGTTCTGTTCTCGTAGGTAGCAAAGCTTCACTTCCTATAACTCACACTAGCTCTCTTCCTTTTACCTTAGGTTCTTGTCAATTCAAATTAAATAATTTCTTTTATGCTCCTTCTTTCAAGAAATGTTTTCTCTCTGCTTCTCAGTTTACTAAAGATAATTTCGTCATTGTTACTATTCATCCTTTTGGTCAAGTAATTTATGACTTTTACATTGATTCTCCGTTGTTTCAGGGTCATTGTGAGGTTCATCTCTATCCCATGTCATCGTCTCATACGTAAGCCTTCCATGTTGCCTTGTTCTCCTTATGGCAATCTTGTCTTGGTCATCCGTCTTCCAAAGTTTTATCTAAATTGTTTTTAGGTTCTATGTCTCAATTAAATAAGGTATTTTGTATCGCACATATAACCTTTTAATTCCAATAAAATTATTGCTCATTTTTCGTTTTATTCAATTCATTTAGGTGTTTGGATGTCTTCTACTCTGTCTCTATCTAGTTTTCGTTATTATGTATTATTTATGGATGACTATAGCTGTTGCTTTTGGATTTTTCCTGTGCGTGCTAAATTTGAAGTTTTCAGGCACTTTTAGTCACTTTATAATATGGTGCGCAATGTATTTAACTCCGTCATTAGATTTATTCAAACCAATGGTGGTACGGAATACATCAATAATTCCTTTAAAATCTTCAGTCATCAAACTGGGATTGTTCACCGTTTCTCGTGTTCCCAAACCCCCGAACAAAGTGACCTTGTAAAAAGGAAAAACACCGTCGCATGTCCACTGTCACCCGTCTCCTCCTAAACACTAGCAATGCCCTATCTTCCCTTTGGTCGAACCCGCCACCACCTTAATCATTAACGTTCTCCCATTCATGGTCCTTTATTGGTCTAGTCCCTATTTTTGTATTTTTGGTATTTGTGGAGTGAAAATTAATTCCGAAAATTCAGAACACGACAAGTCGCCTTTTTCCTAAACAAGACAAGGTTTCCCTCATTAAATGGGTAGGGCCAACAAATATTCCCGCACAGCTCAACATCTCTGGAGGATTTAGCAGTTGACTTTCACTACATCAAGCTCCCTTGCTCGTGGCATGGAAAAGTCAAAGGTATTAATGACAGAATTAATCACCAAATCTGATCTTTAATATATTCTTGATTCAAGATTAACTCAACCAAGTAAGAAATCATCATCACAATTAATCAAGGATACTTACCTAGTAATCCTAAGATTTATCTCATAATTAATATCTTCGGGATAATTCTTTCCTACCTACGGATGACACACCTTGACCAATAGGTGGCCAACATGTGTAGGACAAAAACCCTAACCTTATGGCCAGCTACCTCCCTATAAATACTCCACCTACACCATTTTCTGGTAAGCTTTTGATGCACACTTAAGCCCTAAACACTTTTTTTTTAAGTTACTAAATTAAGCATCAAAGATCCATTGACCAAACCCCCTACCTCGTGGGTGCGTGAGGCTTTGGCCTTAATCAAAGGTGTTTATTGTTTTGTAGGTACAAATTTATTAAGACTAAGACGGTCCATTTTTGCTACCAAGAATTGGTGCTTTCATTGAGAGCCTAATTTAAATACTCGAAAAATGCTCAAGCATTCATTCTTTGAAATTTTCTGTAATGTTGAATTTACTGTACGCTCCTAGTCATTGATTTTTTCTTAGAAAATTTCTAGATCAGTCCTTGGGAAAGGATCTAATGGTATAAAATTCTGAAACCATGATGAACCTCACACCCTACGTCGAATACAAAATGGATGACGGAAACCACGATGTGGCCTCACTTCGATGATCTTCACGGCTCAATGTGATAGCAAGAGAAGCCTTACTGCGACAGAGCACCACCATCGTGTGCCCTACTAAACCTTAGGTTCCTAGACTAGTTTCTAAACCTGGTTCAGCCAACGCAACTCCATGCCACTGAACCGACTCTGGTTCAGACTTAACTACCGCATCAATTGTCGGATTGGCGACTGAACTGGGGATATTTTCACCCCATTTTTCAATAGGTTTTCTTATCTAGCTTGAATTTTTCACCTGCAGCTCATTACAGTTCCACCACTTACGGAGATGCCCATCATCTGAGCTCTTATGCAACAAATGGCGATCAACACCTGCCTTTGTACTTAACAGATTTGATAAGCACCCTCGTGCAGCAGACGACCTTGGTGAATCAGCTAATGGAGTACATCAAGAAGTAGCGTGCACCATACAAGGTGTCTTGAAGTAAGACGAGAGCAGATGATCATTTGATTCTTTCCAGCAACGTCCCGGTAAGTAGAACGAGGGTAGAAGATTGTGTCGTTGGCAAAAATCAAAATAAAAAGGTTTTGTGGGCTAAAATTGTTGATAAGTTCAGCCTAACTCTAACACGAACTGAAGAGAAGGTGTTAGTGTTTATGATTGATGGACGATTATCAACAAAGCATGCGCTTTATGGAAGGGAAGCTTGGAGAGATCGGTGGTTGACATGGCTAGTGGAAGGAGAGTCCAAGAAGTGGTAAGTGTCTCCCTTCATAGTTTATTTTTTATGTACACATTCTTATTTTGCAACTAATTGATCTTTATGTATTCCTTGCATAGGGTGACAAAGCAATGATGATTCACAAGAGAAGAACTAAGACCAAAAAATAAACTTTTAAGTTATATATACTTTGGACGCCGTCAATTATAGTCCAAGGCGAAAAACCAATGCAAACCAACAATGAGCAAAATTATTTGCTCATGAGGCATCAAACGTTATTGTTGGAAATCAAGTTGACCATTCGGTGACTCCATCTTTTTCTCTTTCAAGCCCCTTGGAAGAGATAAGCAAAAGGTGGAAGAGATAAGCAAAATGAAGCATAGAAAAGGGAAGATGAAAGATCTAACTATTACAAAGCTTTGTTTTGAAGTTGAAAAATTTAGATTGAGGGGAAACCAAGGAAGAAATGGTCCGAATGCGTTTGTTCTTTGAGAAGAGCAAGCTAAAAAAGGAAGATGCAAGGAACGGTTTAGAGAAAGAAAGCTTCGATTTTGAATAATGAGGGAGGACCTCAATAAATACACTCCAAATAGGAAGAAGTTCTTTCGTGATAAGTGTTGGGGGATTTTTAGGTCTAGGTGGACTCGAGCTTTGAGAACGTCCTTTTGTCTCCCTTGGTGCAGATTCACAACAAGTCTCAGGATATCTCAAAATAGATAGCTTGTCTTAGGAAATACCCCGGTAACATCAACCGGCTCGAAGATAGCGTGAAAGATCAAGATAATGACTTGCTCAAGTGAAGTGTGGTGTGGAAGCTAGAAGATTATCAATTTACATGAGAGAGAAAGGATTTGCATGGTTGCATGCCATTCTTTGCTGGATAATCTAGGCTTTTCTAAGGTGATACTAAGGTTTTTAATGGTTATGATGTTTGATGCAAAGCTATGGAAATTACTAAGGTTGCATGGATGGTGATGCCTAGGCTTGGACTATGCTTTTGGTCTAAGAGGAACTTTCTAGGATTTTTCCTAGGTTGTTCTCTCTCACTACTTTTTGTCTATTTCTCTTATGTGTTCTTCAAATCCCATATGTGTTCTTCCAATCCTCTTCTTATGTAAGTGAAGGTATTTTCTCTAGGTTTCAAGGGAATATCCCTTTATGGCTTGGACTTCCCTTCCTTTCTCCCTAGCTATCCTATTATTCTCATTTTGGTGTAAACTAGCTACACTGTTGAGACCAGTAAAGTGCCCTTTCCCAAGACGTGGCTTTCTGCATGCACTAAATCTGGTAAAACGCTTCATGGCTTTTGCGTATTGGCTGTCTGTGCAAGTTGGGAAGGGAAGTCAGTACTAAATGCCTGACTTGCTGGGCTTAGCATGTATTTAATGCAAGAATCTAGCTTAATCCTAACTAAGGGTGTTAGCTTGCTAGGGAAAAGAGGTAAACTAGGCTAATTCTCTCTTAATGATGCCTACGGGAAATACAAAGGGTATGGGCTTGGATCCTTGGGCTCCTAAGCAACCCAAAGTTTTCCATGACCTTGATTCCACATAGGCCTGATAACCTTTCGTAACCATCCACACCATAATCTACTTGACAAGCCCAGAATAGTTGACTTAGGCTTAGCATGAATTGTGGCTAAGGAAGTATAACGTGATGAAGAAGCATGAGTATAGCTTAAATATCCAGTTTAAACATCGTGGCATGGCATGTTGGTAAATATATTCCTCGTCCATCTTGCACCTTGGCATGTGTTTGGGCTTAAATGTAGGCTTTGCATGACAATTGGGCCATGAGACTTGGTTGGATTGGTGTGGGATATTTTTAGGCCCCAACATTAGCCCTGTTGATTATTTTGGCTATGACAAACTTTGAGTGGGTTGAATAATCAACCCCAGGCCCAATGGATTCTCTTGTTTAAACGTGGGCATCCTAATGGGACTTTTCCTCTTCCCGCATGGCAGCAGATAAATCTCTGCCATTGTGTTCCCTTGCTTCCTGTGCACGTCCTATCATATGCAGAAACTTTGGGTATTCCCCCGCCTACACTTGGTAACCATTACAAACTACTCTTCTTCCTAAGACAAGTATTTAATTTGTCCTTGCTCTTCCTCTCATCCTTTAATAATCCTTCATTCTTCAAATTTTTCACAACTTCCTTTCTCTCCAAATTCTTCTATGCCTTCTGCGTTGGGTTGTGTTTTCTTGTTCGTGCTTTTCGTGCTCTACAACAAGGCTTTACTTAGGTAAGGAAATTCTTCCCTTGACCCATTTTTTGAATTTTTCTTCTCCTTTTGTCTTCTCTGTTTGCCATGGTGATGGAATTAGGCATGCATCTCTCCTTTTGATCTTGTGTTTCAAAGATTTTAGGGTTTGAACATGGATGCATAAGAGGTGAGGGTCCTTCTTTCGGGAAATCAAACTCAACTTCTAGGGTAGTTTTACAGCTTTAAAATCATGTGCATTTGCCCTCTGTGATTTCTTTTTTACTTTCCATGTATACTATGCAATTGTCATTTAGCCTAGCTTTTTTACATGTTAGTGCGTGCTTGAGTGGGATTGATTGATCAGTTACATTGATCTGGTTGGCATGATTAGCTTGACTGCATATATAACCTATTTTTGCTTAAGTACACGTATAGCATACTTTTCCTGGCTAGATCTTTTAGGGCTTTGATAGCATGGCATATGTAGGGAAAGATGCATGTGTATTGTGTGAAAGCATGTAGGGAAAATAGTCCCATGTTAAAGTCTTAGACTTTTGCATGAAATACTTTAAATGTTATGAACGTACCCTATTGCTTTCCCGGGGTGTGCCTAGTTGCTTTCCTAGGGTAGATTCCTTGTCGTGCATCGCTTTGCATGCTTATATATTTCTTCCTACATGTTACATTGGCTTATAGTATCTATGGTTTGATGCTTGCTTTCCATAGGTGCGTTATGACTGCGGAATCACCAAAGTGCTTAACTGCAGTGGATGAGTCCTTCACTACCGAGGACCATCTTCAATGAGGCAGGATGCCGCCTCTTCTTGGTGCTCAAAACAAGGCTTTTGATGCGCGAATTATACGCGTACAAATTAAACCCTCTTTTTGACAATTGTAGTATGGATGTAAGTAGGGATCGTTCTGGACCGGGGATTAGGAGGGCTTGCTAAAACCTTCTAAATTGACTTAAGAACGTAAAAACAATATAAAACACTAAACTAGACTCAAAGAATGTAAAACTAAAATTTAAAACATTAAGACAAACCAAAAGACTCAAAACTAATTTTGGACGAATTTAAGATTATGGCTTGATTCAAACTACTTTAAAAACACAAACTAAACAGATTCTAAGTACTAAAGAACAAGAAAGTAAAAGGGGGGGGAAAGTTTTGATTTGACGAAAATTGAAATAACAAAACAAGTTAATAAACTGAGCGGAATGTAAATATGAAATTGTGATGGAATGAATGGAATGAAGGCTAGCTAAGGGGTTCTTCTCCACACATGTTATACTTGCATACAAGATTGATTCTCAGTTGGTCTTTCGATAAATTATGAAACTCAACACTCCGGATTAATTTGGTCCGCTTAAATTAACCGTCAAGTTTTCCTTAAGTTAATGAATTGGATGGGTTTGCGCAACGCAATTCACAACATTCTCCAAAAGTCCTTTACGTGAACGGCACAATAAAGATACAATCAAAGATCATTAAGCATTATGAAAACTATAAGTGTTGACGAGGCATTCGTTACTATGATGAGCATGAAACTCGTGCCAAGAATATGTTTAACACGATTGTTTATAAGCAACCTCCACTACTTGTGAATATAAGTTCATAACGATTAGGTGAAATTCACTTATATTCTAGCGTCATATTTATGCATGAAAATTAAGCGCGCATTCTTAATAAACATTCATAAATAAGCTATCAATCAAGCAGTTAAACAAATTGAATCCACAACTTATGAAATTCCAACGAAAGTTAATCAATTCATATTGCAAATATAAACATAGTTTCGAGTCACCCCCTACCTAAAGGGGGTTTAGTTCCTCATAACTTTGAAATCAAAGAAACACCTAAACATTCCAACAACTCAAAGCTTGAATTGTATGAACGTTTAAGCACTCTTCTCTTCCATACATACACAACAAAGAGAATTAAAATGAAACTTTGAAATCAAAGAAACACCTAAACATTCCAACAACTCAAGCTTGAATTGTATGAACGTTTAAGCACTCTTCTCTTCCTCGTTGTAGCACAAGGTTTAAGGATAGGTTGTGTGATGGTATGAAGTGTTTTGGAGGGATGAGAAGTGGTTGGATAGTGGCTGCAATGGAGGAGAAAAACTGCACAGAAAATGGGAGGTTATGCACGGCAAGGGATGTGTGTTTGTGTTGTGTGTTGTATTGTGAATGGAATGGAAAATGAATGAATGAATGCAAGGGTATTTATAGGAGTAATGGAGGGAACATGACAGCTAGGAGGTGGGTGGAAATGTGGCTGAATGTTTGGTGAATGATTATGAATGAATGCATGTGACTTGGCTAGGTTGGAAAGCTGAAAATCTGAAAATGCAAATGGGAATCTGAAATGCAAAGGTGGCCACGGTTTTGAGTGTATTTTGTGTTGGAAATGCATGTGAATGCATGTGAATGTTGTTTGTGTGAAGTGTATGTGAAATAAAGGGTGAATGGTGGCTGAAATAATGATGGAAAACAGCTAGGAAAAGTATGGAATGCATGTGAATTGTAAAGGGAAAAGCTGGAATTGGCTAGGAAGTCACGGCATGGGATGTTTTGGTGCATTGTGGCTGATTTGTTTGTTGGTTAAAGATGCATGTGGATGAATTATATAATGGGAAAGTATGTGATTGACAACTAGGATGGATGGTGGCTGCAATGATGAAGTGTGATGGTTGAAAATGGCAAGGGAAATGCATGTGTTTGGAGGGCAAGGATGATGTTTTGTGCATGTGGCTGCAATGATGTGTAATTATGGAGGAATAAGTGCATGTGGTTGAATTGGTGGTGAATGTGCATGACAAAGAATGGATTTGGCTGCAATGGTGTGTAATTGGGCTAGGTTTTAAGTGCATGAAATGGACCCAAATTGCTCCCCCTTGCATGGCAAGGAATGGTGTTTGTGTTAAGCCCATGGCAATGTGATTGTACTTGGGTTAGGGCCATTGTTTTATGTCCTCAAGTGCTTACAAGGCCTTCAATTTCATCTAACACTTGGGCTCCAAGAATAAGCTATCCATCCTTAGCCCAATAGTGCTCCAAAAAGGCCCCAAAACACTCCACAATGCATCCTTTCGTCAAACACGTTTTATAATCCTGAAAACACACAAAAGAAGCATAAAGAACTAAAATAACTAAAGAAACATAACGTAAATGTACGAGAACAAGCTAAGTAAGTCGCCTAAATATGCTCCTATCAAACTCCCCCACACTTAACTTTTGCTAGTCCTCGAGCAAAACAGAATAAAAACAAATAAACAAAACGACACTAAACACGTAAAACACAACCTAAACCTTCCAACAACCGTCTTAGGGATTTCCAATGCACATGACATGTTAAAAATCATCATTCTCACAGATTTTAGTCATCTTCACACTTAAGTACATTCTTAATCATAGTCACCATATACTAGTTCACAATTAAGCATTTAAAACCATGTTTTGAATGTAGTAACATGCCTTAGAGAATTTGCTCAATTCCTTACAAGATATGCACTCAATTTTCACTCAGAATTTCTAACAACATACCCTAATCTAGTCATATGTGAGAAGATTGATGTAAACATGAAAACGAACACTCACATATATGTATCACAAAGAACGCAATTTCTGGAGTTAATAAGCATGTTTAGATATGATCTCATGAATGGAATGCTACTACTTAGACGCGAGAACCAGTGACACCATATGCTCATACCAAATTCAAACTCCACAATTGAAATGCACAACACTCAAGATAGAAGTCAAGGGTTGTAACGGGGTTTGGGGTATTGGCTCACAAGGAAAGGTAGGGATAAACAAAAGTTCTTTAAACAATAGCAAGCAAAGTAATGAAATTAAGGCTTAGAATTCACTTGGTATGCAGAAATCAACTTTTAGACATAAGGGGGAGATTCAACAACTCTTAGGGCCTAATTTATTGTTTTGGGCCCTTACTTCAACAAACAATACTTTTCAACTTTTTTTTTTTTTTTTTTTTTTTTTTTTTTTTTTTTTTTTTTTCTTTTTGGCCGTGCCTATGGCACATCAACTCATATAAACACTCTTTCCCCCACACTTATTTTCTGCAATACCTTAATCAAAAGGAAATCATTGCTTATTATGCTTCAAGAACAAGGGTGAGGATGGTCATATTCTAGGCTAGGTGAGGATAATTGCGGGTTAACAAAGAAAATAGGCTACACAATGCTCAACGGGGTTAAATCCTACAAAACAAATAAAATTGGGAAATATGGCAATTTGGCTTTG